TGTATAATAACATTTGTTGTAGAATTTTTTTCTTTCAACGTGTCTATGCACCTACAAGTAAAATGACCAATGCTGGAAATAGCCAACTGATCTGAAGTCAATGTGACCACAGTCAATAGAAAAACAGCCAGTAGCCTGAAGTCAGCCACCATAGTCAACTGAAAGTCAGAATCCAATCAATATATGGTAGAATTAAGTTTAGTACATAAGTTTTAAGTTATTTAACATTTTTCTATGAAGTTGCCTAGTTTGGGGATTTCCATGGAATAAGTGCATATAATGAATCCTTTATTTCTAGCATTAGAAAATTAGTCTTCCCCTGTACTCCCTAAATAATTAAATGTGAACAATATTTAAAGAATACTATTGTGAAAGGGTGCCAAATCACTGGCCCACACCGGACACACATCTGTCTCAGTCCGCCCCTGGGGAGACAGCTAACCTCAAGGGAACTGAAGCTGAGAAGCCTCCAGGAGCTCCCAGATATAGCATAGTTTTGCCATATCTGCTTCTCTCGGTACATTTTTTCCTCTTTCTTCTCTCTCTATCAGTCTCTGCTTCATTTGGTTCAGAGTTCAATCCAGCTGTCACAGCCCTTTCTCAATATCACAACTCACAGTACACTCTTGAACTTCAGCCCTATTGCCAACTCTCTTGATCTCTCAATCTTCCAACTCTAAATTTCCCCTAAGGAAGACGTATCCAACTGGCTTAGCTGAATTTTTTCAGTCAATCCCCCAAGTCATTTAGGATGACCACCCTTGACAGAGTACAGGCATTGACTCAGGTCTAATGAGTGAGGCCACAATGAAGGAGGGCACAGTCAGGCTAGAAGCCGGGTAGGTGATGGTAGACTTGTCTGAGTCACTTGCATTTCCTTTGGATAATCTTCTTTAAATATTGCTTCTGTTGAAAAGCAGTGGCAATCTGACTTGGGATATCGAGACTAAGACAAGGAGGGTGTCCACACAAGGGGCAACAATGGTAGCCTGGTGTAAAGTCTCAGAGTTCAAGTGGGCTGAGGAGTTTGTCCATGCGGCACTTGGCATGGGGTGTCAGAACTAAGAGAGGCGGAGAGGGGATCTGCAAGGGGGCTACAATGAGGCAGTCCAGTGTGCAGTGAAGAGGGCATCCGTGTGGCCTGGCAAGGGGTATCAGAGCCCAGGTGGGCTGGAGAGGGTGTCCACACAGAGGGTGCAGAAGCAACTAAAGAATAATCACATATAAGGTCATTAATCAAATAAGTAATACATTTTGAGGATAACAGAAGCTAGATTCTCACTTTTGGAGTTATAACTATGAAAAGGAAGAAAATGAGAATGAACTCTGTGATGATGAACTGGAATCGGAGGTGCTGGCCTGACAATAGTTTGTATACATGGATAGACATGGAAATATAGATAGTGTGTGAATATGTTTCCTAGCTCTGTCATCTGAGAGGCCCTGTGAGCACACTTAGCACCCAGAGCTTGGTTTCTACGTATCATTCTCCACTAAAAGAAACCAGGACTTCTTGGAGAAATGGTTGATTCCAGGGCAGTGGTCAGAAAGGCATAAGAAGAATCTGAGAATCTTCTTGTGCCAGTAAGAAAAGAACTGCTCAAAGACTAATAGAGACACATCACTAAAAAACAGAAACTTTCCGTGGCTCCCCCTAACCTAATCTGGGACCATTGGGGTATTCAAATAAATAGTAATGATAATAATAGATTGTAAACTGTTACATAGACTAAGAATCCATAATAGTATAAATAAATACATGAGTAAATAAATGGGGAGAGGAGAAGGTTTTTCCATATAGTAAAAAGCCAAATGATAAATATAGAAAGAATAATAAAATTAGTAAAATCACCATTTAGCAACTGTCATGCTCATAATTCATCCAGGAAACATCAATGGATGGTAAACCTAATGGATAAAATTTAATAAGAAACACAGTATTTCCATAGTCTCAAAGTACCACCCTATTCAACAACAACAAAACAAACAACCTGATTCAAAAATAGGCAAAGGACTTGAATAGACACTTCTCCACAGAAGACATACACATGGCCAACAGGTATATGAAAAGATGCTCAACATCACTAATTATCAGAGAAATGCAAATTGAAACCACAAGAAGATGTCACCTCACAACTGCTAGGATGACCAATAAAACAAAAAAACTCTTGACAGGATGTGAAGAAACTGGACCTCTTGTGCACTGTTTGTGGGAATGTAAAATGGTGCAGCTGCTGTGGAAAATAGATGAAGGTTCCTTAAAAAATTAAAAATAAAATTACCATATAATCTAAAAATTCCATTCCTGGATATATATTCAAAAGAGCTGAAAGCAGAGTCTTTTTCTTTCTTTTTTTTCTTTTTAAATTGAAGTATAGTTGATTTCCAACGTTATATTAGTTTCAGGTGTGCAATGTAGTGACTCGGTATTTTTAGAATGCAGAGTCTTGAAGAGATATGGTCATGGCAGCATTATTCACAATAGCTAAAGCATGGAAGCAACCAAAATGTCCATCAACAGGTAACAGATAAGCAAAATATGGGATATGCATTCAGTTCAGCCTTAAGAAGAAAGGAAGTGTGCTACAATACGGATAAACCTTGAGGACATTATTCTAAGTGAAATAAGCCAGTCACAAAAACACTGTATGATTATTAAACTTGTATGAGGTACTGAGAGTAGTCAAGATCATAGACAGAAAGTAGAAGGGTGGTATCCAGAGACTGGGGGAAAGGGGGAATGGGGAGTTACTGTTTAATAGATACAGAGTTCCAGTTTTGCAAGATGAGAAGACTCTGGTGATAAATGGTGGTAACAGTTGTGCAACAATATGAATGTACTTAATGCTGTTGAACTATAGACTTAAACATGGTTAAGATAGTTTAAAAACAACAAAAAAGTATCATCCTACAGAATACCTATTGATTACAGAGTTAAAAAGAATAATTTTAGTGGAGAGACCTGACAGATACCACTTGAAATCAAATGATCAAAGTTAATTAACATCACAAGTAATGGAATAAATTGATGGGATGCAGCGTGAAGGGAAGAGAATTACTTCTGTGATCCTGCCAAAAATATATGTCTGAATCAAATCATGAGGCAATATCAGAGAAACCCAACCTGAGGGACATTTATCAGCAGTGTGCCAGTAAACATTTACCAACTAGCTCTCTAGAAGGGCAACGTCAACAAATCTGATTTGGAGAATTTCCATGGTGTAAATAACCTCACTATAGCTGTATCAGCATGAGTTCAACCTGCCTGCAAAATCGATGAAAACCGCACCATCAGCTCTCATGATCCAGTATAAGCCAGCTCCAGCATCCCACCTTGTACAAAATGACTGGCAGTGCTCTTCAACAGGGTAAAAGTCATGAAAGGCAAGGAAAGACCAGAGAATGTTCCAGCTTGAAGGAAGCTATGGAGTCATGACAACTAAACACAACATGTGATGATCCTCAGTTGAATCCTTTGCTGTAAAGGATATTACTGGGACATGCGACAAACTTGAATGGGGTCTGTGGACTAGATGATGGGGATACATCAATGTTAATGTAGTAGGTTGAATGGTGGCCCTCAAAAGAGATGTCTACATCCTAATTCCCTGAATTTGGCTGGGTGACCTTATTTGGGAAAAAGATCTTTGCAGATATAATCAAGTCAAGGATCGTGCGATTATATCATCCAGGATGACCTGGGTGGGCCCTAAATGCAATGACGTGTGTCCTTATAGGAGACAGAAGGGAAGACAAAGACAGAAGGAGACAAGGAGAGGGCCATGTAAAGACTGAGGTAGACTTCGCAGTGATGTAGCTGTAAGGAATGCTGACAGCTACTAGAAGCTGGAGGAGGCAAGGGGAGATTCTCCCTCCCCTGGAGTATTTGGAGACACTTCCTGTCAACATCTTGATTTCAGACTCTTGGTCTTCAGAACTGTGAGAAAGTAAATTTCTGTTGTCTTAAGTCACCCACCTTGTGCAGCTATTACAGCAGGGCTAGGAAACTAACAAATTACTTTCTTCCTTTGGATAGTTACGTGGGAGAATGTCCCTCTGTGTAGGAAACGCATGCTCACATATTCAGGAGCGATGGGACATCAGGTCAGCAATCACCTCAGTTACAGCAATCGCTCCCAGACAGTTCAGGGAGGGGGTGGGGCAGAAAGGCCACTTGTACTATTCTCGCATCTCCTCCATAGGTTTGAAATTTCATCAAAAGAAAAAAATCCCCATCCTAGGGCTCTAGTGGCTTGGAGAAGGTGAGGGTGGATTTTGTGGGGCTTTTTCATGGGTTCCTCAGGGATCTCCTGCAGGAGACCCACTTGGCATGAGCAATGCTTCCTCTAGCTCACTCCTTTAAGCTTCCTCCTCAGCTCCAGGGTCTCGATCAGTCCAGACTTCTGGACCCACCCCTGGGCAGGTGACCTCAGCCCAGCTCCCCTCGACCAGATCCACATTTGGTCTCTGGGAAGCCCACTGTGTGTGGATATATTTGATCCCACAACGCACAGAGCTTTTCTTTCAAGCTAGGACAGTTCCAGCTCTGCCTCTTGCTTTTAGACTTTCAGGTGTGAGTCAAATACTAGTCTCCAAACTCCAGGGTATGTTTGTAAAGGTCTCTGAATGATCCTCTTGAAGCCCCTCTCATGTGGGCTTCAAGGGGAAGAGAATGCAAATGCCTTCCCTGACCCTTGATGGATGAACCTGACCCCTGGTGGATGAACCTGATCCTTGATGAATGAACACAGGACACTGACGACATTCCTCTCTCCAAGCACAACTTGGGAGATTTGGTGATGCTGGTGGGACTGGTTTGGGCCCATCCTTCAACTGTGGAGGTTCTTAAAATCTGTTCTTTTATTCTTGCCTTGGGAGATGTGCTGAGGCTCTAAGGCAAGGGGAGAAGCTATGTTTCACAGGCCCTGTACCTGCAGAGAAATGCTCTTGCTGAAGTCACCTTGTGAAATTTAGTAATAGATTTTAGCTTATCTCTGCAGGATTTTGTGCTGTTTCAACACCATACACTCCTCCCTTGTTTCCTCCAGCTGCTCTGACTGCCCCTTGTCAGTTCTCGCTTGTTGGTTTCCTCGGGACTATTTCCATCACAGGCCCTCATCTCTTTTCACTCAATGCAGTCTCCCTGGGCAATCCCACCCACTCCCATTGCTTCAGTTATTACTGGAGTGTGGGTTGTTTCAATGCTTATGACGACACCTCAGGTTTCCCAGGGTGGAATAAAGAGATGGATTTACCTTCAGAACCCAACTCAGCCCAAACAACTAGAGTTTAGACCATGAGGGTCCCAGCTGAGAACAAAGTTTTAGGAAGAGCTACAAAAAATGGACAGGACTCAAGATGGGTTCCCAGCCTCACAGTCATCAAGGCCTGATGAACCCTCAAGTTGGGGTTTGCTCAATAGAAGACACGGTGCGTTTTCCTGGGGTCTCTCTGAAAGCCTGAAGGCGTGCAGTGAAGATTTCCAACCCTGTGCGCGTTCATCTGAGTTCTCAGTTAAAGCTGTTGTAAATCTGCCTTTGAAATGGAAATAATTTCAGTCTCAGCAAAGCAGTTGGGGATGGAGGGTGTGGAGTGGATGAACAAAAGCATGGAGGCCTGCTTTTGACCTCTTCTGCTCAGCCAACAAGCTCCAGCGCATAGCTAATCAGCCAGCCCTCTGGCTCTTGCTGTTTCTACAATGGCTAAGTCCCTGCATTTCTGGGGCAGAGCTAATTGCAACCAGTCTGTCCCATTTATCACCAGGTCTGCACTCTTACTTGTCAGACTCCATGTCCCATATTTTGCTTCAGAAAATATGGTCACCATAGCTGTTTCTTTGTGGTCTAAAACTTCCCAGAAGATAAATCTGACTGTCATATCTATCTGTCTGTCTGTCTATCTATCTTTCTATCTATCTGTCTTTCTATACACACACATATAGAGAGAAAGAAAGTATGAATTCTGCTGTGGTGGCTCCATTCTCCCTACATAAACCAAAACTTCACCCTGGATAAAAGCACACAGGCTTCTAATCCCCTCACTTTCATGACTGCTTCATGCATATTAGAATAGTACATTTATTTATTTATTCATTTGATTTAATTAGGTTCATACTCTGGAATATTTTTTATGAACAGTAGTTGAACAAGTGTATCTCACAGGGTGCAATCAAAAAGCAACTTTATTCTTTCCTTCAGACCTGTTCTCTGGGTGAGTTCTTCCCTGAACCTGGATGTGATCTAGGGCAGATAACAACACTCCAAGATAATAAAATACTCTCTGGGTGCTTCCAGTCTCAGGAAAGGTCTTGCTTCAGTAATTGAAATGTCCAGTCATTTTTAATTTAACTTTAACCAAAGCTTCTCTCATCAAGCTTGAACCTGCTGCTGTAGGAAACCTAGGATGGGAAAGAGAGATGTGTTTCAGCCTTCCCTCCTTCTTCCCATCTCCTCCTACTCACCAGGCTCCCTTCAGCCTCTCCTATAAAAGGAAGAGGGGAATGCAAGGAAAACAAGTTCAGGGTAGGATAGATCTTACTTGGCTGGTACCCAGATATTATAGCATCGGTCTCCTCTGGCCGCCATGCATGTTGAAATCTCATGCTCTCTGGGCTAGGAGGATGACCACACATGATTCTTGCATTGGGTGCTTTCATGGGTTCTTTGGAGGCACCTACTGGAAATATTGATAGTTCTTGTGAACTGGGTAGCAGCCGCTTATGTTACTTCCCTCATACCTTGGGAATACAGTGGGATTACAGGTGAATACACTCACCACGTTGGACTGTCCTTTAGGGCAGGATCGGAAATGACTCCTGGGGAGATGGGATGAGCCCTGGGACAAGACCCAAAGGGTAGTGAGCAGAGTGTGGACCGGATTTCAGGCCCCCCAAGGAGAGTTCCCTTGTGTATGACACAATTTGCACTAGTCTGCAATGGCCTTGCCCCTAGCCAGTGCCTCTCAGGTTGGGTCAAACTCCAGCATTTAGTGCCCATCAAACTCCTGGGGACAAGTTCTCCACGAGGTGCCCCTGAAGCTCCTGTCACAAGGACTGACCCTTTCTTCTTGGAAGATCATTGAGACACTGTTGATTTCCTTGCCCCAACTCCTGTCCTCTCTGACCTCTTCACCTTCACCCCCTTTTATTCCCTTAGGATGGTTGAGGGTCTATGTGCTGCAAACTTGATTTTGCTTTTTAGGGTTCGGTGGCAGTTGGGAGGAGTTGTTTGTTTGTGTTACCACACTTTACGTAAGATACACAGGGAGTCTGGAAACTCCCTTCAGAATATGGAGGTAGAGCACATGCTTAGCATGCATGAGGTCTTGGGGTCAATCCCCAGTACCTCCTCTAAAAATAAGTAATAAATAAAACAATTACTCCCTCCACCAAAAAAACCCTAAAAACAAAAGACATATCCCAGAAATCACATGACACACTTCTGTGTACAACTTACTACACAGCACTTAGTCATTTGGCAACAACTGGTTGAAAGAAGCTAAGGAATGTGGACTTCATTCCAGATGTGAACCCAGCTACCAATCAGGGGTTCTACTACCAAAGGAGAGGGACAGAAGGTATCTTGAGAGAAAACTGCAGTCTCTGTTAGCAGGTGGAAACATGAGTTCAATCGGGATTTTGTCACAGAGGAAGAAAGAACTAAATTCTGGTTAGGCAACAACAGTGGGTCCTGAAGCTCTGCCTGGGACTTGGGTCCAGCCAGAGACTAGTCAGTAGCTTAGTGGTATCAGAGACTCTGGTTGGACATCCTGTGTCACACAGCCATTCCTGGAACTTGACGGTAGAGTCATCTGAAGCCAAAACTCATAATTGAGAATTGAGGATGGTGTGGTTCCCTGAAGGTATCTGTTTCTATTTTTTTTAAACTTTTAAGGGTTCTTTATACATTAAAGATTGAGGACATTAAGCTTTTATTTGCCTAATGTGTTGCAAATTATTTTCTAGTTTATCATTTACCCTTTACCATCATAGTGACATTATTATAATTATTGTTTTGACATATGGAAATTTTACATTTTATATAATCAAATAGTTTCTGCCTTTACATGCTTTTTACTTTTATGTTAGAATGATCTTTCATAACCAAACTGACAAGTGTTTACCTATGTTATCCTCCTTCTCTGATTGAATTTTGTATCAGTCAGACGATGCATTCTGTTGCGCATGTAACAAAAATTCCACTTACAATGGCTTAACACAAATAGAGATTCCTTTTTCTCAGGTAATAAGAAGTTCAGAGCTGGTTTAATGGACTTATTATATCTTCCAGAATCTAAGCTCATTTCACATTTTTGTTTGATACTCCTTAATTATACAATTATATAGCTCTTCCTCAAGCTCATAAATGACTACTGCAATTCTAGGCATCACATCTGAAGTCCATTTAAAAAGAAAGAGAAAGGGCAAAATATAAAAGCCACATGCCACCTGAATTCATCTATTTTATGGGATAATCAATACCTTTCCTGAAGATGCCATCTGTTAGATTTCTCATTGGTCAGATCTAGGTAATATGGCCACCCAAAAGACCAAGGGACTCTTGAGGAAGTAAATATTTTTATCTGAACACATTGCTGTCCTGAACAAAATTCGATTATTTTATTAAATGAAGGAAAATGGATATTGGGTAGACAACATCGTCTGCTATAATTCTCCATGTATAATTTTTGAAGGAACTAACAATTTTTTCCAATTAGTTAACCAACTTTCCCAGCATCTTTACTGACTAAGACATTTTTTCTTCATTGACTCGGCATGTAACTTTATTATTTTCAAAAGCTTACAGAGGTTCCAATTCCAGGAATGGCAGGGCAATACCTAACAGGCCAAATTTCCCCAGATAACAAACTGGACTAAATATAGAAAACAACCATTGAAAGCACTGGAGAGAAGAAGCAAAAGCAGACAAACTGGAGAGTTGTTGATACTCAAAAGAGGGTAATGACCCTAGGTGAGTTTCTCAGTTTCATAGCTTGTTGCCTAAGGGCAAGCCCCAATCAGTGTCCTATTTGGGATTGAAATCTGCCATCTTACTACCACGTAGAACCAGAAGGCAGGGTCTGGGGTTTCTGCAGCAGCCAGAAAGTGAAGGGAGACGTCCCAGAAAGGAAAGAGCCACAGTGGAAGAGCACCAAATTCTATATATGAACCCTTCCTAAATCTCTGTTCCCTGAACTACTCACAGGCAGTGCAGACATCAAGAAGCCCAGTTAAGGCTCAAATAATTAAAAGAGAGATTTTAGCTGGTACCTGCTGCATGAGACACAGAGTTTCAGCTGAGATAACTGCCCACCAAAAAATAAAAAATAAATAAAAATCAACACTCTTTGGAGGACAGGATTCAGAGGCTCTTAAAATATCAAGAATACAATCAAAAATTACTGCACATAGAAGACTAGGATATATGACCCATACTCGGGAGGAAAGACAACCAATGGGAATCAATCCTCAAATGACCCAGATTTTAAAATTAGCAGACAAGGATTTTAAAGTAGCTGTTGTAACAAGGCTCAGCTAAGAGAAGGTCTCAGGACATTTCTACTCCCTCCTCCTGGAAAGAATAGGTTATGCTATTAGGCATACATCCACATGTCCTCCAAAAACGGAGTGCGAATTAACTAGCCTGATAAAAGGAAGAAAAGTGGTCTAGGCTAGAAAAACAAAGCCAGAAATTTTCATTCCTCTTGCGTAGAAAGTAAATCAATGATAGGTTATTGTGTTGGTAGAGAGCTCTTGCCAGACTCTTGGATTCCGGTGCTCTTGGGTCAGAGGTGGAAGAGTTAGCAGCCAGAGAATTACATGGCTCTTTTGTAATCCCACTTATCTAGCACCCTTCCTAAAAATATAACTAATCCCTCCCCAATGGAAGAGGAGTTTCTTTTATACCTTAATGATTTCTCTCTTTCAGAAATTCAACACAGCATGATAATCTTTTTAGGGAAGAGAGTGAAACTGAGATTCAAAGAGTAAGAGGACTCCAAAGGGGTTTCAAAGGCTGCTACAGATAAAGCACAGATCCACTCTGTTGGAGCCGAAATGGGTCACCTTGTTAACTTATTTCCTTATCATTTAGGGAAAATATCTAATCCACTCATTGCTGCCTATTCTGCAAGCAAGTTTGCTCTGGATGGGTTCTTCTCCTCCATCAGGACAGAATATTCCGTGACCAAGGTCAATGTGTCCATCACTCTCTGTTTCCTCGGCCTCATAAACACAGGTAAGGTCAAGAGATTGGAATAAATGGCCTGCAAATGGATTATCTGTCTTCCCATTGTAGGTAAAGAGGGTGCTGAACTCCTTGGCGTCATCGTGTGTAATGCACTGAGAGCCAGTGAGACCACTAGTCCCTTTAATGGACCTTCTGTCACTAGTGGAGCCCCTGACTACACTTTGACCCTTCTTTGCATTCTGACCACTGAGTATGCTGAGTGACACCACACTCATCATCCAACCCTATTTTAAACACCTTATGGCCTCATGAACACTCAATGGCCATTACTTTCCTATATGAAATTTATCACACACAAGTTTTTCTTAATTACATCACCAGTAATAAGACACATCGATACCATGAACCCTTTGATACGGTGCAGTGAGAAAGACACAGTATCATTCTGGGGGTGTTCTTGCCAAACATGCATAACCTCACACCAATCATGAGAACAATGGACAAACTCAAATTGAATGACATTCTACAAATCAGCTGAACAGTACCCTTCAAAAGTGTCAAGGCCATGAGAGACCAGGAAAGACTGAGGAACTATCAGAGACAAAGACAAGAGGGAAAAGAAGAAATTACTGCCAAGTCCTGGATAAGGTCCTGAAACATAGAAGGATATTAGTGAAAAAATTAAGTCTGCAGTTTAGTTAGTAATATTGTTCCAATAATATCGTATCTATTGTTGACAGCTGTACAGTGGTTATGTATGATGTTATGATTAGGGAAAGCAGGGTGAAGGATAAAAGGAAAAACGTTGCACAATTTTTACAACTTTTCTGTAAGTCCAAACACAAGCTTATCTAAAACATGTGGCAAGTATGATAAGAAAAACTTTGCCTCATTGAGTAAATTGAGTAGCAGTTACAGAATGAGAGAGAGAGAACAAACAATACAAAGACACGAGTGAAGCAAGAAAGGATGGAGGGAGAACCCAGTGAGAAGGACATGGAAATTTGGAAGGAGAGAGCAGGTAATTGTTTCCTTCCAAGTGAAAGTGACTGGTGTTGACAAGGGCACGAAGGCCTCGGTTCTTGTCCACCTCTCCTTTTTACAAGCCGGTAGTCATTAACATACAGCACTCTGGTTTTGCCCACTGACACCTCCCATTAGCTACGGGGTCATCATCTGACTTCTGTCCTCATTCTGCTTCCCCATGTTGCTCCCTCACTCCAACCAAAACACCCAAGAGAGAAGCATGATTCAACTCTCTCTAGCTGCCCCCACAAACCTTGGTCCAGGAAGACGGGCCCACACGAACAGGGGCCTCTCTTGGCCCAGTGGGCCCCAAACAGACTCAGTTTTCTCCACATACTCTTGATAGGACCCATGGGCCTTGCAGAGCAAGCACTGGCAAACAGCCCCCAAGAGCTAAGCTGTTGGTGTCTGCAGGCCTTCCCCCACGTGGACTCTGCTAGCCTTGGATAACCCCTCTTCCCTTGTCATTCTACAGACACGGCCATGGAGGCAGTGGCCGGGATACTCGATGTAAAACACGCGTCTCCAAAGGAAGAATGTGCCTTAGAGATTATCAAAGGGGGAGCTCTGCGCCAGGAGGAAGTGTATTATGACAGCTCAGTCTTGACCTCTCTCCTGCTGGGAAATCCAGGGAGGAAGATCCTGGAATTCCTCTCCTTAAGAAGTTATAATATGGAAAAATTTATTAACAACTAGGTACTTCCTTAGGGCTGAGCATGATAGCAGAGCTTGGGACAATTCTGCCTGAGACTGATCCAAGTTCCATCACGAAGGCATCTCCCCAGAGAGATAAATGAGTGTCCCCAGGGGCTTGCCAGTCACACATCACATCTCACAATTTGATGGAGTTGCTCTAACACTTGTACAGTCGAAATGTAATTATAATGAATGTCGTGAACCAGCAATTGTGAAATTGATAGTAACCCTAAGTATAACTGCAAGGTAGCTACATCAAATTTACCTCACATGTAATAATGGTTATGATGCTTAATGTTAACTTAATAAAGGTCACAGACACTTTATAAACTCATACCTGGTAGGTAGCTGTAACTTCAGTTCATTCAGTATGGTTCCATTAAAACCATAACCTATACCTGTGAAGTTTTTCAATGTACCTTTCTTATGTTGTGATCTGAACTTTTTATCTGTTCTTAAATTGAAGAAGTTTTATTTATTCTTCATTTGGTGGACATAATGTCCTTAGCATGTTGTACATTTCAGATACTTTTTCTATTATTTTCTTTTGCTCCTCTGGGAAGGAGGACATCTGAGTATGAGTCACTGGGGCAAACCCAGTGGAAACTTGAGCCACAGAACCCACGTCTGTTCATTGTACTCAGAGTGCATAAAGCATCTATACTTTACATATGAATGCTCAACAGTATATGAGAGGTTTGCAGAGGGAGGGGTTGGAGTTCAAATCCTGCCATTCACACATTTACAGTCATTCATTCATTCATTCAACAAATATATAGCAAATACTTGCCAGGCCTCACTTGACTAAAAGCAAAGAGGAAACAAAACATCAGCTATGTCAACAACTTGTTTACTTGGCCAGCAGATAAGAGATGGCAAACTGAATAATTTTAGCAGAGTCTAATAAAAAGGAGACTATTTACAAAAATGTGGACAATGTTACGGGGAAGTCACAAAAGGTCAAGCAGTATGTAAGGGCTAGATGCTGCAATTTCCAGCCCTCAGCCCACCATCCGGACAAGAGGAGGGGCCTGTTATGAAAGCCCAGATAGAGAGAACTGCTTGCAGAGTGCCACACACTCCATTTAGGGATGACATTCCATTTAGGGATGCAACCGGCCCACCAGGGACCATGAAGGAGGGGCCTGGGGAATAAATACCCCAGCCTCACTCTTCTCTCCCTCTGAGTCCTCGCTGGTATTTTCTATTAGCTGAACAGAGGGGCAAAGAGCAGAGCGACGTAAGCCATAGAGGTCAACCTCCCCGCGCATAGAGCAGGCTGGGAAAGGATGGAGAGAGCTCTGGAGGGGCAGATGGAGTGCACCCAGCACAAACCCGACACTCTGAAATGTAGGCTTTCCGTGGGAAGTGATGCTGGGGCACAAGACGTGGGCCTGTAAGTACAGGGGAAGTTTCCTTTTCTCGCCTCTTAATCTAAATGGCTGAGCAGCAGAAAAATTGGAGTCCGCTGAGCTGCCAGCCAGATGGACAAGGAGCTGGATCTAGGAGTGTGGATATGGCTGGACTTTACTTAGAAAGAGGTCCTTCCCAGGCTGCGCCCAGTGCTAGGGAGCAAGGGCGACCTGAATGCACCTGTGCGTGAGAAGACAGACCAAAAACGTGAAGTCTGGTTTCTGACTCTGTAGCATAATAATACAAACACACACACACACACACACACACACACACACACAGAGATACTAGTAAAACCTGGTCTAGTAGACGTCAGTTTTTGACCAGGCATATTAACACCCCTCAGTCTCCTGTAGAAACGAGGTTCCCTCTTCACAGATTTTGTTGACAAGGTGGAGCACAGAAATTCCTTTACTGAAGGGTGGGGACGACATTCAAAGCAAGTTAGAATTTGCATGGGCGGAGGTTAAACCTCTTACTTACTGAGGCTTTCCCCAGAGTCCCAAAGGGATGACGTCAGCACTTAGGTCTGAAGACTGAAACCACCGACACCCTCAAAGTTTGCCGCCTTCACCAGCCTGGACATTACAGCTCCCTCGTCTTCGGTAGCCTGACTTTACTACTCCAAGTCGGTCCAGGAAGATAAATGTTGAAAACAATTTAAAAATGCTCAACGTTTCAATGGACAGCATCAAATGATTATTATTCTTCAGGACTCTTTGGAGCCCTGACCACAAATCCCTGTCTTCACTGTGGTCACCAGTCTCCAATGATAGCCTCATGGTCCTTCCCTAGTCCTTATCAAGCCACCACCCTGAAGGCCCACCTTAAACCAGACTCCAGTACTTCATCAACAGCCCCCTTTGCCCTCCCCATTCTGAAAGGATCTGCACCCTCAACATGGTACTTCCCTTTCCTGGAATAGCAAGAAATTGAGCTTTGTCTCACAACAGGCAGGTGCAGTGATCTTTTCAGAGAGCTCTTCACAGGAGGGTCCTCACCCGGCTCCTCACCTGGCACCACTGCCCCTTAGAGCTCTGCCCCG